AAGTATTTAAAATACCAAGGATGTTTCAAGGGACGACTACATAATAATTGCACCTGCATGCATGAGCTCGTGTCTCTCAAGTTTCATGCATGTGCTTCGTTATGGCAGAGCGTGGTGCAAATACACCCAATAGTTATTGGCCACTGTTTGGTACACAAGTTGTGCAGCAAAACGAATTTAAAATAAATTTTAATATAAAATGTCTCATTGCTATTTCCCAGTTGATGTATTATTTCCATTGCAATATAAAAACAAGTACATCAAATACTGGCTGTATCTCCCTTTGCAGCTATAATAAGGACTCCTAGCAATTTTAAAAGTAGGAATCGATTATCTGGCAAAAACATCAAGCCCTTAAAATCTACAGAAGTGTTAAGAAAGGGTAAGTGACAATTGTATAGGTAGCAAAATAACTTTCCTAGAGCAAAGCAGCCAGCTGCACTAGATAAGCTGTCATGTTTAATGTGTATAACGTGCCAGCGATGAAATTTATGATACCTTTACACATTTTCTATTTATTTCAGTGCACTTAACATTTCAAATTTTATTATCTAGTAAAAAATATTTAGTTCTACAAATAATGGCGACTGAATCAAATAGAGCAGTATTCAACTTGGTATGTGAAATCGTAGAATATTTTGCACACCCTTCCAATTTGGCAGTTTCAGAATTTCCCTGGGACACATACTTCTCCATATGGTCTTTACATGTTTTCTAGAGAAAGCTTCTGGGCCATCAACGTGAAATAATTTTTTTAATTAAGCCATCATAGCAAGTGTTATACTTGTACTTCATTCGTTTTTTGCAAAGCAGTTGTAAGGTTCACATATCTCTATTTTCAAGAAATATGAAGTGAATGAATGAAAGTATAGTTAGGCAGCTAAATGAATGATATAATGACTCATATAGACTATGACCACTGGAAGGGTGAAGTGGTTGTTGTTACACGTGGACTTACAGGCTGTTAAGGGTAGATAGACAAATCTGGCTGATTGTGCGTAAGTGTTAGGTCATGTCAGTTCAGATTAAATACCAGACAAAGATTGCAGGCAGCAGTCCTGATAGATGTGAATTGTTGGAAGCAGTTCAAGCTGGAAAAGAAGTGGTGTATTTAATTGTGACACATTTGTTGAAACTTTGAAAACAAGGAAAGTTTCTCGAGCAGGCAATGTTAAGTGATGTTTTTGATGACTGTGACAATGCACACTGTCACTCTGCACATGTGTCTGTCTCCTAATATATTTTCTAGCAAAGCCACAAACAAAGATAGATGGCAGTTAACTCGCGTCCTGTGTTTCCTGTCTTATGCAAGTGTCATTCTGCACTTTATTACCTTAAAAGTACTTGTTGCTGGGCAGGTTTGTATAACATTATTAGGCAAAATTCTAGACAATGCGAATGTGTGGTGCAGTGTAAATATTTTCTGTAGTTCAGCTGCGACTGACGCTCTTTCCCTGTGCTTTTTCATTTTTCCAGTGGTGCTTAGGCATCTAGAATTTTACCCCTTAGCTTAATTACCTCCCTGAAGCTATGCATTATCTTGCCCATTAACAACCATTGTTAAACTATTGTATGTGGCATTGTTGATGCAAAATGAGCTTAGAGTATATGCTAAAGCTCCTGCAGGATCACCGGCTGAATGTGACAACCAGTTCACCATTTATAAGAGCCGAAGTATTGACATTTTCAATATATCTGTTCGCACAGTGCTTCATTGAAGTCATGCAAGCTTAAAATATGGTGCTCCCACAACGAAATTTTTCTTCCTGTGCTGTGACCAGCGGGAAAACTATGTAGACAATAAGGAAAAGAGATCACAACTAGGCTTGGCTCTGCAATGTCTGCCTCAATAAATTAATGTAATAAATTAGTGCAAGTGTGCTTATATCACCATGGTGTTGCCAGTTTATTACTACATTTGATATGAACCTCTGTTCGCTCCACCATGGTGTTCCTAAGGGTGTACACAGTCTTACCTCTGAGACAGCATTGCCAGAACTAATTTCACTGTCACAATCTTGAACAGGTGTGCGACAAGCATGCGCCAGTGCAGAGAACACAAGAGAAGTGGTCACTGCTTACATGTTCAAGGTCGTATACACACACACCGGACTATGATTTTGCAGTGTCTTACATTTTGAGTGGAGTATACATCGTGATGGCGGGAGCCATCTCTGTGGTCACCAGCTAGACTGTCACAATGTGCATATTGTTGTTTGAGACAACTGTTTAGGACAAAAAAAGGGCACCGTAGAAAAAAATATTTTTAGGCTAATGTAAGGGCTTGTGGTGAGGAGACTCTCAAGAGGTATATGGTGTGTCATCTTGCAATAGAGAAGCAACATTTATACCTAGTTTATGTTAGTAGGAGTCTGCTAAACATTGGCCATACAAGCTTGTGCCTAGAGAAGGATGATGTCCAGAAGATACCCTCCGGAAATGTTAACCTGCACCGTCCTCTCTTGCCCTTCTTGGTGCACTGGAATTTTTGCCCTATGGGTACTAATTCCTTCAGTGGGTACTCTTGAAGGGCTTGTGAATAAGCTCACTCTTACCACCTGCTTTACCCAAGGGCAAATCCTGCTGTTGGAACTTGTTTGCTTGGCAGAAATTTTTAACAGGAAAAAAGACTTCACTCGTTACACAAATAAAGCTACAGCATTGCAAGATTACTATGATGTTATGTACACAGACCTCCCACATATAGCTCACTAAAATTTCACCACTTACCTCTATGGTGACCCTGATTAAGTATTAAGAAAGCATGTAAGTTTCTTGATCCTATACTTTTTAATCAGTACATGAACCTTGAAAAAACAAGATCATCACTTGCAGTCCGTAAAACCAGTGCTTATGAACTGCAATGAAGCCATCGAAAGCATCAGCAAAAGTAAATTCACCCTGCTGGAAAGCGAATTCTGCATGAGGCCTGTAAATGTACTGTTAACAAAGTCTTTTCGACAACTTCATTATGTTTATTTCTGCAATTTGCATAATCCTGTTTCATGCATACCTTGCTGTCCACCCTATAATTATTGACCTCTGAGTGTTACTCAAGTAACCATGCTCATTTAACATACCTGCAAGCCTCAGTGCTAATCTAATGAAATTGGAGACTTTAATAAAGTAATGCTCTCTAATGCTCACCCCTTCAAAAAAAGTTTTTAACATCCCCTGAAAACCCATTCTTTAAAAATTCGATGATCAGAGATGCGATGTATCTCCACACCTGAGGACAGACATTTCTCTCCAATTACAGCCACATTATAACAACAAGCAGCCTTTGTAAGATGCTTGAACACGTGCCATCATCTCAGGTCAACATGTTTCCTGAAACCACCTTGCTCTTAGTTATGCGACAGAATGGTTTTCATAAATCATTTTTCGTGCTAAGCTCAACTTGCCCCGTGACAAACTGTGTGTTTAATTTTAGACCATTCTTCGGGAGCTATTTTTCTTGATAACTAAAGAAAACCCAATAAAGTGAAGCATGAGCTTTTAAAAGGAAATTTGCAAAACATGCACAATCATCTCCAATAACTTGTCTGAGTATATCTTTCAATAATAATGATCATTTTCATTTCAGAGCACATATCTGATGGCACAAAATCTTGAGTACCAAGGGGTCTGTCACAGGTATTTTTCACTTCTTTATTGGGGGCCATGTAACAATTTTAAATTATTCATGCGATATACTAGAAGTTTACTGCAGTGTGAATCACTTGCCAGAATTAAAAAAAATAATTATGGGGGGAACATATGGACTCTTTACAAAGGTTGAAGTTGATGCTGATGCCGTCTGTTGCATGACCAGTAATGAGACAAAGCACGGCGCATTGCATTAGGCCTAATAGCAGTGCTACGCTTCTATTTCACACACGCGCGTTATGTATGCTTTACTGCAATACACTGCAAGCACTTCACCCCATGACACTGCTGTATTGCGGCAATGTTAACTTTTAAAAAGACCTTTACGGGTTAGCAATTGAAGCTTGACAATGCTCCCAGCAATAAAATTTCTATTTTATTACATATTTTTTTTTTCATTTTTATACACTTGCCTAAACTAGTGTTACTAGCCGTCCCGAATTTTGCTGGACTGTCCAAGACTTTGCCCGCGCTGTCCCAGTCGGGACAGATGTCCCCGAATTTTTCCGGACTGTTCAGTAAACGAAAAAAAAAAAAAGAAACGTTTTGTGTTATAAAAGGCATGCCAAATAACCTGCGTCCAACTGATCACACAAAGAAATGTTGCTGTGGATAGCTGCACGGAACTTTAAACACTTCAGCTGAACTTTAGCGTCAACTTTTACTAGAGCATTCTAGAGCGAGAGGAAGTGTCACGAAGAGCACATAGCAAAATTTAGTGCCACATCAAGAGACCGACGCAATGAAGAGAAGAAACAACGAATTTGTTTGGAAGGCACCGCAACAAAGAAAACTAATTTCCCCACCCACACACAACTACCTTCACTGTTAGTTACCACAATCTAAACACACACTGCTAAGCAAACAAATTGCAATCATCTGCAACCGCTGAATAAAGCCACTCGGACAAGAACGTTCTCTAATTCCAACTTGTGCACTTCGTATCTATCCCGCGCACTTACGCAAGAACAAGCTTCAACGAAAGCGTTGGCACAAGTATATACTTCCTCCCAAGTGACACCAGCTGTTTGATCGGTCCTCAAGCAACACGCATGCACATACCATACATCCGCGTAGTACATGCGTCAGACCAACATTCACAATTCGCATTTCACACGGCCTTTATTTTATGCTCGTTATCATTGCTTGTAGATTTGGTGGCAAACACTTCGGGCTGGTAGGTGTTCTGTGCTTCGGGCGAATGACGTTAACTACTCGATAAGCACGGATGAGAAGCTCCTGAACACGGTGACATCACAGGAATTAACAAAAGCGGCAGCAGCGACTTGCGTATGAATCACTTTCTAACAACAGAAAGCGACCACGACCCCACGGGCAGAGGCGGTTCTCACCATTTCAAACAGATTCTCGGCCAGGTTCCATTTGGCGTTGCATAAGTCTGTTGCCAGACTTTGAAATGGTTGTTGCCAAACTGCCGTTAAATTTGGCAGAAAATGTTTCTCCTGTAGTTGTGGCTTCTTTGTAAGAGTTGGGTGCTATCCGCGGTGCACTTCGTGGCTGAAAACTTTTCTCCTGTAGTTGTGGCTTCTCCGTAAGAGTTTAGTGCTATCCGCGGTGAATTTCGCGAGTGCATGAGCGACGCTGGCCGTTTTAATTAACGGAATGGACCGAGCCTAGCAGAAGTCGAGCGCGGCGCTGCTGCGCAATTAAGAGGCCGTTTTGATTCCGTTTTAATTAACGGAATGAACCGCGCATTACAGAATTCGTTTTCTTTACGGAATATAGTGCGCCTAGCAGAAGTCGAGCGCGGTGCTGCCGTGCAATTAAGAGGCCGTTTCAATTCCGTTTTAATTAACGGAAGGAACCGAGCCTAGCAAAAGTCGAGCACAGGATATCGGCGAGCGATCACCTCCATTAATCGAAGGAAAAGGTCTTTCACGTTGAGGCGTGCGACGACCAAGTACGTCTCGAGAGGAAAAAAAAAAAAAAAAGGAGCCTTGCCCCTGTCTACCCAGCATTGTGAGTGTCCCGCGGAGCTGGGACAGCTAGCTGTTTCCTGCAACCATTGTACCTGAAATGTGGGTCTGCTCACTTTTTTTTTTTTTTTTTGCCGGGGCGATTGTACGTGACGACTTACTGCATCCTGGGTCACCATAATTAAGCCGAGGTCCTTGCGAATTCCCCATCACTCGGATGTCGGCGGCCGCTTCTGTGCTGTTCCCGACTGTCTGTCTGACGGAGAAGCCACAACTACTGGAGAAAAATTTTCAGCCAAGAAGTGCACCGCGGATAGCACCAAACTCTTGCAAAAAAACCACAACTACAAAAAAAAAATTTTCTGCCAAATTTAGCGGCAGTCTGGCAACAACCATTCTTCCAGTCTGGCAACCACTTATGCAAAGCATAATGGAACCTTGCCCAGATTACAGTCCAATCCAACACCAACATCGGAGAAAAAAACATCACAACTAGAATACGATGAACCCGCCCCAGACTGTATGTCACCAACGCCTCCTCTAAACAATGCCTGGGGAATGGCTCGCGCTCCCAGCCGAGTTGGCCTGCCTTCAGTTTTGAGCAAGCGCCGCGCGGTGGCGCTCGCGACCGAGACTATTTTACTACATATTTTTTCATTTTTATACACTGGTGGTTCAGTTCGGGCTGTCAAGGTGGATGGACGTGTTTTTTGAGCGCTCCGGATCGACTGCGCAGATAAAGGTTTTTGCATGTTTTGAGCTTGTCTTTATAATTATAAGGCAGCGGTTGAAATCTTCGAAGCACTTATTTTATGGTACGGCTTTTTCGGGGGCCAGTCACCAGGTATTTATTAGTTAGTGCGGGTGTGTGTGTTTGAATTTTTTTGTTGTTTTTTTTGCCACCCCATGGGGGAGGTGCGCGTACATTGAACACGCAAATTTTTGTAGTAGAGCTTAGACTTTCTTTTTTTTTCTCGTAGTGCAAAGCTCGAGTTTAGTAATTATCGAGTATAGGGACAATTGGTGTCAGAAAGGCATGGTTAAAAAGACTGTAAAGTGTTCAGGATGTGGAGTGGGTTTGAAAGTGGACCCAAGCGTAGAAGCGGATGGAGAAGAGGCTGACGCGAAGTGTAGGCAATGTGAGGTCGAGGCAAAAATGGAGAAAATGATGGTTGCCTAGAGTGAACTGCTGATGAGAATCGCCGAGCTCGAGACTGCGTTGGCGACAGAGCAAGAGAAAACGAGGGCAATGGGAGAAAGACTGAAGTCCGCCGAGGATGCGCTAGCGAAGCTGAACAAAGAAGCGACCTACCGAGAGAACAGTAGGGAACCGGCAACCAGAACGGTGGAGAAAGAAAAGCAAGCAAGTTTGGAAAAAACAGGTTTAGCCGGTTCAACTGTCGCAAGGCCCTGCTTCAGCGAGGTAGCGGTGGGGCAGGGAGGGAACAAAGCAGCCGGCGTCACAGGCGCAAGTAGCCCCCAGGTGCAGAACGCTCCAGCTGAAAAGTCACAGCATATGATAATCGCCGGGGACTCGAATTTGAATCGATGCACAAAAGCCATCAAAGAGAGGGTAAGAGGTGACAAGAGGGTTGCAGTAGGGGCGTTCCCAGGACGCAAGCTGTAAGCAGTCATGAGGCAAGCGAGCGCAAAGCTCAAAACGACAGCTGATAGACGAAACCTCGTGATAATTTCAGGCGGTTTAAATGATGTCTTAAATGAAGATGCCGCAGGACTAGCAGCCACACTGGCGAAAGGCGTCGATGACATGCGCGCCACTTCTCCTAAGGTACAGGTAGTGATATGCACGATACCGGAGGTACCGGTGCGTGATAGCAACCTGCAAAGAGCGGTGGTCAACGCAAACCAAGAGATATGCCGGATGAGTCGAGAGAAAGGCTTTGAGGTGGTGGAAATAAACAGAGAGGTGCATAGGTGTGGGGGTTTTCAACCAGACAGAATTCACTTCGATGGGCGGCTAGGTCAGGAGGTGGGTTGGCGACTTGCGGGACGCGCAGTAGCTTTTTTTTTTTTTTTGGGGGGGGGGGGGGGGCAAGCGAGCCCTTCGGGGTGCAGGATAGCTAGTAACGAGGAAACAACCAGGGAGACTCTTCGACAGGTGATATGGAAATATACGATTCCAAAGTGGCACCAATATCTAAGATAGGTAGAGTCCGGGGCATAAATAGACGTAGCCACGAGCGCCAAGCCAATTCAGACATAGGGTATATTAACATGCAGGGTGGTAGGAACAGGCAGAGAAGAGAGGCCGATGGTCTACGGTTTTGTAGAAACACATCTCAGGGACATGGAACAACCTCCGAACAATCCGGACTACGCGTGGGAATATTGTAATAGAACAGAAGGCAGCAGAAAGGGGGTGGTATTGGCGCATTCATTCATAAAAGTACAGACTGGCAAAGGGTCAAGCAGGAGTGCAAGGAACATTTATGGCTAAAAGGGAAAGGGGCAGGTCAAATGACACTCCTTGGTTTTGTGTACTTGTGGACGGGAGCAAAGGCCAGAGAGGAAAACCAGGCAATGGTAGAGTGTATATCAAAGGACATTCAAGAGTTAGCAAGAGAGTGCGAGATAATTATACTAGGAGACATGAATGCGAACATAGAAGATATAGATGGGTATACCGACCCGACAGGCAAAATGATCATGGATATGTGTGAAAGGCTTGATTTGATCATTTGCTACAGTACCGAGAAGTGTGAAGGGCAAATAACATGGGAGGTAGGAAGGCTTCAGTCGACGATAGATTATGCACTGATGTCACATAGGATGTATGATAAGCTCAGGGGAATGCACATAGATGAAGGTGGCTCCAGAAGTCTGAGTAGCGATCACAAACGTATCAAGCTAAGTTTTGGAAGAGCAGTGAAAGTGGGAACGAGACAAGATGAGCAACTACAGGAAAATTTTTATCCAGAACGGCAAATTGAAATAGCCACTAGACAAATTGAGAAAATAATCACAGAGGATAATAAGACAGTGTCGACATACACGAATCTAATTAGACTCTTTGAGCTAGAGCTTGCTAAGACGCGTGACAAGTCACCCCGGAAAAGAAGACACAAACCCAAAAGTTGGTGGGATGAGGAAGTTAAGAGAGCCATAGCAAAACGTCAGGAAGCCTCTAGGGAACACAGACATGCTAAGCAGCGGGGTGAACCGACAGATGATGTTGAAAGAAAATGGGCAACCTTTCTAAGCTGTAGAAGGGATGCATCCCTTCTGATCAATGAAAAGATTAGAAGGAAGGGAGCTCAGTGGCTGGCAGAAGTACATAAAAAAGATAGAAAGGCAGCTGCGAAATTTTGGAACCATCTAAACTCCCTAAGAAATGAGACGAGCCTAGAGCAGAGTTTTATAACTACAGCCGAAGGTGCTAGGCTAGAAGGGGACGAAGCATTGAATATATAAGAACAAGGATGACAGAAAAATTTCAACAAAAAATTACCTTATGCACCACAATAGACAAGGACGAATCAAGTGATGCAATGGCTCCACTTTCACAACAAGAGTGGGAAAGGGCTGAAAAAAGGGTTCCTAGTAGTACATCAACAGGCCCAGATGGCATTCCAATTAGGCTGATAAAGACATCAGGTCCGAAGTCTAAGCAGGCTTTGAGAGAGGCAGTGAGCACAATAATAATCGATGGTGAAGTTCCCGATGGATGGAAACTTAGCAGGATGAGCATGATCTATAAAGGAAAGGGGGACAAAGGTGACATAAACAACTACCGTCCTATAACAGTGACATCAGTGGTCTACAGGCTGGCGATGCAGATTATAAAGGAAAGACTGCAGGCGTGGATAGAGGATGAGGGGGTGCTGGGGGAACTGCAGAATAGGTTTCGGAAACACAGGAGGTTGGAAGACTATCTGTTCTCACTGACGCAGTGCATCGAAATAGCAGAAAAGGAACACAGGCCCCTGTGGCTAGCATTTTTGGATATCAAGGGAGTGTACGATAGCGTGCTTCAAGAGGAATTGTGGGGAATACTGGACACACAAGGCATGGAACATGTAGTCACTCATCTCTTAAAGGGTATCTATAAAGGTAACAAGGTACTTATAAAGTGGAAAAAACAGGTATCTAAGCCTGCAGAGGTAAAACGGGGGCTTAGGCAGGGGTGCCCCCTGTCACCCTTATTATTCATGATGTACCTACAAGGATTAGAGGCAAATTTAGAGGGAAGTGAACTGGGCTTCAACCTCTCTTTAGTCAAACAAGGAAAACTTATTGATCAGGCACTACCAGCATTAATGTACGCAGATGATATAGTGCTAATGGCCAACAACAAGGAAGATTTGCAGAGATTGATGAACATCTGCGGTAATGAGGGAGATAGGTTAGATTTTATATTCAGTAAGGAAAAATCAGCAGTCATGATTTTCAATGACAACGAAGGTAGTGAGCTTAGAATACAGGAGGTCACGCTAG